GTTGGTAATATACATTGTGTGTGTGTGTGTGTGTTGTGATTATTAGTCTACAGGCTATTGTATCACTGCATATATATGTGGGGGCTAAAAAGGTTTGTGGAAAAAAAGACTTTGAAAAAACAGTTTCACTTATGTTGTTTATTTTTCAACATTTGCTCCAGTAAGGTAAATACACTTCTGCAAATGTCAATACCAGTCTTTAAGTCTGTTTGAATAAAATTTGATCTGATCCATGTCAGAGCATCTCTTTTCACATCTTCATTCAGTGGAAAATTGGTACCTTTCAATCATTTTTTTTAAAGTTTGGAAACAAAAAGAAATTAGACGGGGCTAAATCCATTGGGATCATACTGGTAGAGCCATGTTTCATCCTGTTACAGCTCTCTGCAGAAAAGCTCATCCCACTTGTTCAAAATTTCTATTGAAAGATCTAACCATGTTTGTGGTTGATCTGGGCACAACAGCCTAGGGACCCATTGACTGGAAAGCATATTTAGCCCCAAACACTCAACCAGAATTGTGTGTGCAGCACCCACAAAGATGTTGAGTGTGTCTGCTACTGATTCAGTTGTTATTCGTCGTGAACAGCATCGATGTTTTCCCCAGAAACTGACGTTGATGGCCTGCCACTGTGGGGCTCATCTTCAATTTCATTTCTTCCACTTCTGAACTGACATATCCATTTATAGGTTGTTGATTTCTTTGGGCCATTGTAACCGTAAACTTATTATAAATATACCTCAGTACATCTCACTCAGGATTTGAATTGCTATATCAGTTTCCCTATAGTGTCCATGGGGAGTGTGCATAAAACTTTGATATCATTACTCAAGTATGAGTAGATAAGTAATGTCTATGGAGCTAGTGAGATCCTAATTACACACTCCTTTTATATAGTTGTTATAGTTAATGGCCCTCCAATTTCATACCCAGAGAGACCAAGGTTCAAGGCCTGGTCAGGGAGAGTTGTTATGCATCTATATCATTGCAGAATGGTATTATTCCATTTTTCTATGTATATTTATATATATATATACACATTTATCTATCTATCTATCTATCTATCTATCTATACCCATTAATATATATATATATGTATACACACACATATATATATATATACATTTATACATATATATACACATTTATGTATATATCCACATATATATATACTTATAAATAGATAGATAGATACATATATATATATATATATATATATATATATATATATATATATATATATATATATATATACATATATATATATTTATATATATATATATATATATATATATATATATATATATATATATATATATATATATATATATATATGTATATAAATATAAATATAAATTTAAATTTAAATTTAAATATATATTCATATAAATATACATACACACGTGCCATGTCAACAGTAATATATGTTTATATATTGTATTTACACAAGTGCCCATTCAATAAGGAGTCGGTTATTAGTCCTACCTATCTCACCTGTTTATCATTTTCCATGCCTTTGGAAAGGGTCTTTTGTGTTATTTTGTTAACTTAAGTGTTACCAAGATTTTAACAATAATTTAATCATATCATCAATAACAATAATTATAGCATTGATATCAATTGTATTAGGAAGAAAAACCAATTTTCCTGCCAATTCAGAGAATGGGGAAATCAGGAATGGTCACCATGGCCTATTAACCCATTGCTGCTGGGGATGGCATGTATGTACATGCCATGACCACTGTGAGTCGACTTGTTCGATTGTTTTTACACATAGATGGCTACACTTGTACTAAGTATCCAATGAGCCAATTACAAGGACTGACTGTCTCGCCTGTTCACTCTTTTCAACGATTTACGAAAATATTTAACGTTATCCTAATTTCCTGTTAAAAATGACACCATCTATATTTATAGCACTTGTAAAAATATGTTTTTTCCCGCCAATTCAAGAGAAGGGGAAATCAGGACTAGCAGAGCAATCTATGGACAGATATTTCACAAAAATATAAAAAATGAGTACTGCATTTCCCCCATTTTTTATTCATTTTCCCCGGCAGCAATGAGTTAATACACTCCTTGCTGGCTGATCACATATGGAGCCATCTGTATGTAATAAAATTCACAGAACACGACAGGGGAGAGAACATATATATATTATACACACACACACACACACACACACACACACACACACACACACACACACACACACATATATATATATATATATATATATATATATATATATATATATATAGTTATATATATATATATATATATATATATATATATATATATATATATATATATGTATATATATGTATATATTTATATCCCAATGGTGATGGGTGAAGAAAACGAAAAAAAAACTCTACTCTCTGGCAAACAATGGTGGCGCGCCGATTTTGAGCACATGAATTCGGTACATCAGCCCGAATCACTGGCTCGCTGTGCTTTGGCGCGCCACCACAGCGTACAGCCGCACGCCGGCTTTCGA